ACCCGGGGATGTACCGCCTCCATTTTGATATCGACTACAATCTCCTAACAGTCTACATTGACTACCTATTGTATTTGGCACCAGCAACGCGCTCCTCAACCAGTTCGGGGAGAACCTGGTGCATCGAATTAACATCACCATCAACCACAAGGTCACGCAGTTTCTGGGGGTGAACATCACTTACGCGCCAGAAGCAATTCATCTTTCAGCTTCTAAGTATGCAGTGCAGCTAGAGGAGCACTTCCAAATTTTACCAGCACCACTCTTAACTCCCTACGGCACAGCCAACGCCAATTACAAACCGTACAACAAACCTCTGTCGCCCGCAGGAATTCAACTTAACCAGCAGCAAAAGGGGTTCCTGCTGTTCGCCTCTGTCACCTGCCAACCCAACCTTTCGTACATTGCCAACCAACTGGCATAGTACTCATGCAAGCCAGTAGCTGAGAACAAGCTGGACCTAGAGCATGCCTTACAATATTTCGTGTCCACGCCTGGCATCGGGTTCTCCTACTCCACGATGGCAATGCCATCCTTCAAACTTACCAGCTACGTGGACGCAGATCACGCCGATGACCCTGCTATTCGATGGTCACAAACTTGGGTCGTCTTTTACCTTGAGCCAACGAGCCCAATCTTTTGAAATTCCTAGAAGCAGGAACTGGTTGCCTTGTCGTCAGTCGAAGCAGAATACATTGCTGCAGATGTTGTAGTTCACGAAGGGCTCTACCTGTAAGAGCTCCCCCAAGAGGCAAAAACATCCAACTTCGCCCACCTTTCGCCTTCGCAGCGGCAACCGGAGCGCGATCAAAATTGCGAACAAGCCAGGCTCCGTCAACCAAACGAAGCACATCGTGATGCGACACTTCTTCGTCAATGACAAAATTGATCAAGGCAAGGTCGACTTGGCGTACTGCCATGTCAGCAGTACCAACACTGCTCCAATCTCATTGGAGTAGTCAATCAAGTCAGCTCTCAACACGTCCAGGTATGAGGGGGGGTGTTCAGTTATGAACCTTTTATGAGAAGGCATTTCTGTATCTTGAAGGAGCTGACTCTACTGCATACAAAGTCGAGGATTTCGAAGCATCAAAGCGACACCAGCAAATACCAGATCGAGACCGATGCAGGCATAAACATTCGAAGTGAAAAAGGCGAGAACGAGTTTGAAACAAGTTCCCGTGCTATGCTGTTGTGAATTCGATATAATAAGGACATGTACCCCTTAGACTACATGGCTAGCCAGGACGTTTAATTTTCCTTGTATTTTCTATATAACTTGATGAATGCATTGATGTCATCATCTTAATCATTATACATTCACGCTGACATGATGTCAATACTTGCACAACAACACTATCTGCCACCAACCCTGAGCCGATCCTTGGCTAACTGATGTTTAGGATGAGAATGTACACCTTACAGTCCACTTGGCCAAAAGAGGTGCTACTCCGCAATTTCAAGGGGGTTGAAAATTGTTACAATCCCTTTTGGGACATAGCCAGAATCGTGCTCAGGGTTGATCGTATTGTAGGTTTCAGCCAAGTGGATGATTGTTGAAAGATGGAAACGATCCTTGGATATGACAAGTCTCCTATAATAAAGACAGGAGGAGTCCTTTTAGGTTGACTTTGAACATTGTGAATGTAAATGACAAGATAATACTAATAAAAAGTACATTGCAATAGGTAGTCCTAACTAGTTATGTTCTTTGAGGGGTACCATACTTAATACTGGTCATGCCGGTATCGATACAGCGACTATGACTATTGCGATCCCTATAGTTATCTCGTTGCAGCTCGTAACCTTTGAGACGGTTAATACAGTTGGAGCATCTTGCAACGTGTTGATTCACGATTATTGACCTGCGTGCCCTACATGTACTGACGCGATAGTGGTGCAGGTGTTGCTTAGTTAATGGAAGGTGATGTAATTTTACATCTTCTGGAATGCTTGAAGTACCTTTCGATTACTCCAACACTCCCCTTCAATCCCGAAGGTGTGCCACGTGGGACTTCTTCACGACTTCACATAGATCCTTGTAGTACGTGGACTTCTAAAGTGGTAGCTTTCGAGGTACCACATGTTCAAATCGTATCACTCTTCTTTTACAATGTTGGCGATCCGAGGCATCATGTTATGGTCCATTTCTGTATCTTGCTCATAGTTCCAGCATTTGTCGTCTTCGTCTGCGATGTGTTCAGTAGGCGGTTCCGCGATCCATTGTGGTGCTTCCGAGTCGAAGGCAATTCGTCCAACCGTCAACTCATCATAAGTTGGGTCAATGTTGTGAGAGTACAGGGCTTTATATTCTTGAAGCGGTTAAACCCCGAGGTTGATGGGGTCAACCGGAAAACGTGCATCTACAACAACGAGCTGGTAGGTATTCGTGAGGCGACACTTGCACAATTGAGTGAACGGTGAACGAGAATAACAGGGGTTACCTAGCGTAGGTGATGGCAACGGAGGAGAAGCCGAACTCGTAACTACCCACTGCAGTACATAAAGTTTTGGAGGAGTATAAGGACATCATGCCAGACGACCTTCCTGTAGGAGTGCCTCCAGCACTGTGAGGATCGAGTCTTCAGCTCAAAATGTATATAATGACCACCTGGATACAACGTCGTGCTATATATATGCATGACACAAGGCCAGTAACCACGGTGTTACTAGAAGGTTCCATGGGACGCGAAGCATCCCGAACGGGTCCTTCCCGAATCGGGTAGAAGCCTCTCATCGGTGCATACAACCTACTCGGTTCCCATAACTATAGGAATGAAAGGTAGGAAAACAAGCACAAAAAAGTAGAAACTAGCAAGCAATAAAGTCCAAGACAACTTTAATATATGTAGGCGTGATGTATTGGATTGCAATGGGGAGCAGCCGCATGGACTATGGAGATGCGAGCAACCTCCATGATCAAGCCAATGCGATGCTAAGCGATCCGATTTTGCAATAGATAAGCCGATAGCGTTAACGACTGGTTGACGCCCTCCTCGCGACAAAAATCCTCAAGGAGGCCAAGAGGGCAGACGGAGCACCAGAGGTCCTAACAAAATCGTGCGCTCAGCTGGTGACAAACGGCGTGGATCCACGGTATCAAAACCAAATGGACGTCTCCCTAAGGGAAACACTATGGTGTAGCAGAAAGTAGCGCTCTGGGCACAGTCCAGTGATGGGGGTGAGGCCCCACACGTCTATTTGCAGCGGCTGCAGAGGAGCAGTGGTCAGAGAAAACGAGGAGGAGCAAGAAGTGGTGCATTGCCGCCCCTCGATGCAGTGAGTGCACGGCGGAACAAGCGACGGCGGGAGCGGGGGCAAGGACCGCGGTGAGGACGAAGAGAGTGTGACACATGGGGGGTTAGTTCTCAGCCAGAAACTCTGGCTTGAGAGCAGCACGGTAGCGCGTGTCAAAAGAGCGCAGGTGAGTCATGAGGTCAGCTACAGTGGCAAAGTCAGACAGCTCAGGGAAGAGAAATGGCAGCGCTAGACGGGGAGGAGTAGCGCTTATCTACAGCATCGTAGAGCGTCTTGGCCGTTTTCAGCAAGTGAAAGTAGGACCTCTAGTCGGGTGGGAGGTGAGAGCGAACTGCAAGCTGGCCTCTGGTGTTGCGTGCTAACCACTGTGTACGGCTAATGGTCAGTCCTTAACTACTGCCGCAGAGCCTTTGTAGCGGTAGGGCTAGGGTCAGTCGCCTCAGGTGGGGCATCAAGGGACCGCGACGTATGCTAAAGAAGCGAGGCATCGTCCTTGGTAATACTCTGGAGGTACAAGTGAAGGTCTAGAAGCCAGGACTCGTATCCGATCGGGCGACCCTATGCGTCAAAAGTCAGTCCAGAAGTCATAGTCATGGTAGGCAGCGGCGCACGGGCAGCAGTGGCGCAAGGGCCGCAGTTGCGGCAGTGCGATGCACTCGCGGTAGTGGCGGCGATGCGGTGTTGGGGCGGCAGTGGCACACAAGCACCAGATAGCGGTAGTGCAAGGGTGGTAGCAGCGGCTGAGCAAGGGCAGCAGCTGCGCAAGGGCGCCAGCGGCGGTGGTGTGGCGGCCGTGCTGAAGTAGTGCACAGGCAGTGGCGGTGCCAGGCAGCAGCAGTGTACGAGGCAGTGGCAGCGCACAGGAGTGGCAGCGTGTGAGCAGCGGCGGCGCCAGGCAGAAGAGGCGCACGGGGCAGTGCCGGTGCGCGGGGCAGCAACTACGCGTGAGCCGCGGGTGGCGCCAGATAGCAGCGATGCAAGGGGCAGCGGTGGCGCGCTTGCAATGGTGGTTGTAGGCAGCAGTGGCGCACGGGGCAGGGGCAGCACACAAGCGGCAGTGGCGTGCACGCAGCAGCGGCGCCAGGGAGCAGGGGCGCACGGGGCAGGAGCGGCGCACGGGGCAGAGACGGCGTGCGAGCAGTGGTGGCGCCAAGTAGCAACAGCGCACGGGGCAGGGGCAGTACACGAGCAGCGGCACCATGCAAGCAGCAGCGCGTGGGCAGGGGCGCACATTCCATGTGTTGTGTTATATGTGTGTAAACATTGGTATATGTTGTGTAAACACTTCTTCATTTCATTATGCTACCACCACATGAATCACGAACGTTGTCCACTATACAGTGCGAGGCGCCTAGTCTAAATGACCTGGGCGAGCTGACACTCGGTGGTGTTGGTCATGGACTAGCAGGGGCACACGGGGCAACGACGGTGCACGGGGCAGCGGTGGCGCCACAGGCAGTGGCGGCGCACTAGGCAGAGGCAGCACATGAGCAGCGGCCGCGTGCAGGCAGCAGCGCGTGGGCAGGAGCGCGCGGGGAAGTGCGCGCGCACAAATGCATAATAATGATAAGAACAAGTTGGTGATAATATTGTTACATGTTATGTAAACATAACATGCATATTATTGCCTTACACCCACACCTCTTCCCCCACTTCCTTCTCTAACGACACCTCTTCATCTCATTCTGCTACCACCACATGAATTACAATTATTATCCACGATACAGTGCGAGGCGCCTAGTCTAGATGGTCTGGGCGAGCTGGCACTTAGTGGTGTTGGTCATGGAGTAGCTGTTGCCATTGCCGAAGCGCAGCTCCTGCACGCAGGGCCGGAAGTCCCACGTCCACGCATACACAATGTTCACCGTCTCCCCAGGGAGCATCTGCAGAGTGCCGCTAGCACCGCGGTTCATGTGCATCTCACAGTACCCCGGCGAGCTCTGCACGAAAATGTCGCCTGTCTGGTACTGCGAGAGGTTGGGATCGGGGTTGGTGAGAATGCCCTCCCACACGTTGTTGAAGTCGAAGCACTGCCACACGCGCAGCGGGCTGGTGACGTTGTAGGCGCAGCCGTTGTAGAAGGTCATGTTGTAGATGCCGTTGTGCAGGTCGTACAGCCCCAGGTACTGCAAGCGGATCGTCACCGTCGTGCGCCCGCATGCTGTAGGGGAAAGGTGCCAGGGGGTGGGCAGATGGGGAGAGAGGTGATGGAGGGAAGGGAAACGTAACATAAGGATCCAGGCTGTCACCGTCATGTGCCCACACGCTGCGAGGAGGGAGGGGACGTGGAAGTGCAGGGGGGATGGAAGTGGACGGGAAACATAAGAGTAGAGTACAGAGGAATAAGAGGCAAGGGGAGCAGAGGAATGAGAGGCAAGGGGAGCAGAGGAATGAGAGGCAATAAGAGCAGGGAAATGAGGGGCAAGGGGAGCAGAGGAATGAGAGGCAAGGGGAGCAGAGAAATGAGAGGCAAGGGTAGCAGAGGAATGAGAGGCAGGGGGGGAATAGAAATGAACGGTAAGGAGAGCAGGGACGGGCTGTGAGAAGAAATAATCCAAGGAACAGGAAAGCAATGGAAGCAAGTCAAGGAGGAGACGGAGAGGAGGGAGCAGCAGCGTTGCGTACTGGTGGCGAGGGCCTGGCGGCGGGGGATGTGGTCGAGGTAGTCGGGCAGAGGGGCGTGGTGAGCAAAGGTCTCAGCCGCCAGAATGCGCGCGCCCTGTTGTATGCACGTCAGTATGAGTGCATGTCATCCTAACGTCCTGCGATGTGCTCGTGCAATCTATGCTTGCATCATTTGCATGAGCATAAATCATTATGCATGGCTGTTGGATTTTATCATCTCTGTGTTTTCTCCAAGTCTAAATGCTTGATCGCGCAGGAAAAATCTAGAGCTTTCCAACGATACCAAGATCGCCTTATTCCGACCAAGATCGCCCAAGTTACAAGATTTCCAAGATTTGGGAATTCTATCTTAATTTGGGATATTAACTAAATTGGGCGATTATTGGGTCATGACTATAAAGGGATCTTTGGTTGGGTGGTTAGGAAGGCAACTTTGACTTTTGGATTGGGGTGGCTAGAAGTTTCTAGCATGGGTTGCAAATGTTGCAACACCTAGGCAAAATCCAATTGGATTGGATTTTGCATGTGACACCTCAAGGACCTCATCATGAGGGTTGCATCTTTGATGCTAGGAAGGTTCCCACCATCCTTCCCAAACATTTGGAGAGCCTTCCCTCACATGGTTCTCTTGAACCCCCCCAACTCCTCATTTTATGCCTCAGATGTTTTGTTCTTCCTCCATCCATTCTAGTGGAAGCAGCAGCTATACGTTCTTGGTTTGTTCTCACTCCCTAAACCATAAAATCAAACGATTTAACTTGCAAATGGTAGCTAAGACTAGCGCGCGCAATCCTACCGAGCGGATTTGCGTTTAGTTGAGATTTGAATTCGTCGTAAGTCTACAAAGTGACCGGATCGTATGCAACAAGTGGTATTAGAGCTGGTGGTCGACTTTGAAGTGACGAATCGTCATCAATTCTCAATCAATGTTGAAAAATGAGACCATTTTATTGTAGCTCTGCTCATGATATTTCAATTATTGGTTGAATCGTGTCCTAATTCGAAGTGTGCGAACTGTGACGGCGTTTTTCGTAAAAGCAAATTTTCTGGCAGAATCCTGTCCATGCGTTTTTTCAAGATTCCACCGTGCCTAAAGCCTTGTGATGGCTGAGACGGACTCCAGAGGTGCTAATGATGAGATGGCTGGGAGTGGAGAGGCTGGAGAGCAAGGGAGAGTAGTTGGTGGTGGAGTGGGAACTCACCAACCAACTACCCCTGTGCAACCCTCTTCCACTACACCATCTCCTATATCTGTGGATCCTATGAAAGTCTTCTCTATTGAGAAGTTCATAGGGGAGGATTATAAGCACTGGAGCTTCCGTATGAGGCTCATGTTTACCCAATACAAGTTATTGGATGTGGTGGAAGGAAAGGAAAAAATGCCAGAGGCCATGGACTTGAAAGGAGCATGGATAAAGCGCTCATTTGATGCGTACATGCTTATGGTCCAAGCGGTTGGTGGACGCCAACTTGACCATATCAAAGGCCTATTGGGTGATCCCGAGTGTGGACCCAAGGCATGGAGGAAACTCCTTGATGTGCACTCACCAACACATGCTACGGGCATTGTGCTACTTGCGCGACGATTGCGCGACATCAAATTTGTTGATGGAGAGCCAATGCAGCCAGTGTTGGATGAGATGCAAGACACCTTCACGAAGCTCAAGAGTGGTGGCGTTGTCTACCCTGAGCTTGTTCAATGCGTGGAGATTGTGATCCGAATTCCTGAGTCGTGGTCTGCCCTAACCATCAACCTCAACTCTCAACAATCCCAATGGAGTGTTGATTACATTCGTGCGCGAATCCTTGAAGAGGATCTAAGGTGCCGAAGTGTAGAGCACTCTGGAGATGGTGCTGGTTATGGAGTTGGAGGTGGGAAGAGCGGCTATAAAAAGAAGTGGAAGGGCAAAAAGAATGAGAAATCCCGAGAGGAGAGTGGCGGAGGCCAAGGGGAGGTATGCTTCTATTGCAAGAAGCGCGGTCATCTTTGGAGAAAATGCTACCAACGGCCCCGAGATTGTATGCTTGATAGCGCTCCGAGCCAATGGTCTCGGTATTCACACCTGCGTCTCCCAATCGGCCAGTCGAGATCAGGTTCGCACACATGTCCGGAACCAATAGCACGTTCTTCAATCCCACAAGCTCACCATCCGCTCCCATGGAATGGTATGGCATGGCATGCTTACAGCGGTTAAAGTGGAGTGTGGGACAGCGAAAGGGAGGTGCTTCATGACAGCGGCCGATCACATCACATCTACCAACCATCTCTTTCACCTGGAGCAGCTTGGGTCAGCCACTCATGTCTCTCTCGAGAAGGCCAGCCTCAACATCACCAAGGACTACGGGATCTGAGGCTTACTAAGCTTGGACGTCAGTCAGTCAGCAGCGGCGGTAGTCTTCACAGTAGTCGGTGTGTCTTGTCTTCTTACCCTGTGGATGTGTAGGGGTTATCAAGCTGTTGTTAAATGAGTAAAAGAAGTCTCATCAGTTTCACGGGCCTCAATGTCAACGGCCTAGGAGATCGCACCAAACAGTAGCGTGTTATAGACTGGTCAAGACAAGCAGCAGACGTAGTAGCTCTACCAAACACTAGACTAGCCTCCGACCACCCCTTCTGGTCCCACCCTACCTTCAGCCTAGTAGCAGCAGCCACACCTAAGTCGAAGGGCGGCGGGGTAGCTCTGTTCTGTAGTTCGCCGGCGTGCTAGTCCACCCCTCGGGTAGGCTTGTTTCAACCGAGATCCATGGTCCCGGCATGCAGCTCACCGTATTAGCCTGTTACTTCCCTGCAAAGGCGACTTCTCGCGCAACTTTCCTCCGTGACATGTTAGGCCCGGTGGTAGATCAGATCTCGCCGACAAGTCACCTGCTTATCATCGGAGATCTTAACATCATAGAGGATCCAGTGTTAGATAAGTCATCCTGTTTTGGGTCAGCGGTGGAAAACGACAGACTCTATGCTCGCTACAAGCAGTTCCAGCTCTCTGACGCTTTCTGGACGCTATATCCGAAGAAGCGCGAGTTCACGTTCTTCTCGCAAGCTCAACAAGCCAGCACGCACATTGACCGCGCTCTTCTCTCGCATTCTCTATTACCTCATCTTATTCAGGCGTCTCATGTGATGCCAGCTGATTATATTTCTGACCATGGTTTTGCTATCAGAGTCGCTCTCCAGTTGGACGCAAAGATCTGCATGGGTCCGAGTCTCTGGAGACTCCACGCATCAATGGTGCACAAGAAGGGGGTGAGGAAGATAGTCGAGGCGACGGTGGCAAAGGTTGAAGTTACCGATGGCAGCAGTTTCGAACTTCTACTGTCGCGCCTAGCGGTGGGACTCCGTGCCTTCGCAAGGGAGGAAGGCAAGTCGCGTCAAGGCTACGGTGTTGCACCTCGTTGACATTGTTGCAGAACTCCGTCAAGAGGCAATGCGCAATCCGACTTGCAAGATGACCAGTGAAAGGTTAGCGGCGATGGATCTTCAGTTACGAGAATACCAGGCTTCGCGCAAAGACAAGCTGCATCTTATATCTGGCATGCGGATAAAACTCCGAGGGGAAGTGGCGTCGCAGCACCTGACGGCGATGGTGCAGGCGAGGAAGGCGTGTACTTAGATCTCCGAGCTGCAGACGCCCAGCGGAGTCGTCTCGGACTCGCAGGGCATTCTCTGTGCAGCATCTGAGTTCTTTGCGGATATCTTTGGGAAAGACAGATGTCAATTGGAGGAGAACTGGAAGCCTGAGAAGGGGAAAAGGCTGACAGACTGGGAAGCGAAAGAGCTGGCACAAGATTGGTCGGAAGAAGAGGTTAAGAAAGCATTCAGTGCGATGGCGGCGAACAAGTCCCCGGGGAAGGACGGACGGCCAAAAGAATTATTCGAGGCTCACTGGGACCTGTTGGGGAAGGGTTTTATGGCTCTGGCGAAGGACTTCGCGTCGTCTGCAGTTCTTTCAACAGAGGTTAAAGAAGCGGTCACGATATTGCTTCACAAAAAGGGCGATAAGGATCAGCTGAACAACTACCGCCCTATCACGCTGCTCAACTTTACCTACAAGGAGCTGGCGAGGTTGGTTGCAGATCGGATGAAGAAGGTGCTGTCCAAGGTGATCTCGCCGGAGCAATACGGCTTCCCGTCGGGAAGGCGGCTGACTGACGCAGTGGGCCTGGTCGCTGATATCATCGATACAGCTCGTAACGACAATGAAGATTGGTTTCTTCTTCTGGTGGACTTAAAAAAGGCGTTTGATTCGGTGTCGCGAGGCTACCTTTTCCTTTGCTTGTATGTTAGACGAAATATAATCGTGTGCTTGTGCTTGATTGTTCTCAATCCTTTCTAGTGGAAATATTATCTGAATCTCTTTGGCGAGTTAAATTGCTCTATCAACGTATTGACGTGAAGAGCCATTCTGCACACGAGCCCATTTCGTCATGAACGCTGTGCAATGAACTTTTGGGAACTTTTGCGCAACTCTTCTTACAAGTTTCCTACAACTCTTGTTCTTATACCTTAGATTTTTTAGCCAAGCTACTTTCTACGTGCATCCATAGGTAAGATATCATGCTCAATTTTTCAGAACAGTTATGAAGTGTCTCTAATATAGTTTGTTCACCCTTTTCTGTTTATGTTGCTGAA